CAGTCTACTATTATTTTGTTAAGTAGGCATAAGAACAGATAAATTTCACCCTATAACCATGAGTATGGAGCAGCTCAATTGCCAACCTATTATTTTAGTATAAATTTTTAGGGAGGAATATTGAAACTCTATCTATCATCACATGCAAGACAGAGTATTACAAACAATATAAGGTGGGAAAAATTTTATTAGAAAATTTTGTGATGCTCTAATTTCAGGAGGAATGCAAAGCCCAGCTATTTTAAAATTTTAATGTATCAATTATGAGTCAATTTTCGGTTTGCTTTTGGACGTGATTTCTTTGAGTTACTGGATAGTGACAGACTTGCAAATAAACTCCTAGCTATATCTACCTGCCCACATTTTGCATACATATCAATAAGAGTGGTGACCAAAGTGGCATTCCCTTTGAGTCTATTTGCTTCTATGTACTCTTTAATCCATTCCGCCAACTCCAAAGCACCAGCTCTCCCACATGCCGTTAAAACACTAATCAATGTAACCTCATCAAATTTAGCATCCATTTCCAACATGTAATGAAACAAATCAACACCCTCTTTCCGGCACCCACTCTTCGTATAACCAGAAAAAGGTTTATGTTCAGCATCAACTTACAGAAACAAGACTTGCTGAGGATTCTAAAATGAAAATAAATATAGAACTAAAACCTGAAATCTGGTCAAAGCTTCATCTAAATATGGCCATGCCTGACTGCAATCTGCTTGAACAGCTTTCCAAGAATCACTAAAATTCTTTCGGTACTCGTTTAATACCTAGACAACACTTAAGGTGAGTCAATCTCAGACTAAGAAAAACAGAGAAAGAACATAGAAACTTAGTGGTGGGTAGAAGTTGGAAACAACTGATAACAATTAAAGCAGTTAAAAAGAACCTACAACTATGTGATGTTATTTAAGTATGTGTACAAACTTCGAATTTCAACTCCTTTGAATGGACAAACTTGGCATATYCAGTTCATGACCAATACAAWRAAGAATTACAYACATGYTYTATCTCAAACATCCTCAGCTAGCTCCTTAAATAGATGATTAGAAAATCACCTCAGGTCTATCATGTTGATATTAATGTAGTATTCAACAGTGTTAATACTAATACAACAATGATCCTTTTAGGATATGTCGTAAAAGTTATTTATCTGCTTAATCTGTCGGCATCATCATTGCAAATACTGTCCACTGCAATTTGTTCTTTTCAGTTATGAATTATGTTAACATCCTGGTAAGTATTATTGGAACTGTGGAAGGAATGCTCACATGGGACTGGTGCATTGTGGTTTTGCARATCCTCATGCAAATGCAAAAAGAYAKCATGTGCTTAATGAATAAAAAATGTTGGAGAGATTCAGGTAAGGATGATGAAAGATATTACATGAAACAATCTTCTCTGTGATGTTATGACTTATAAAGCATCTACAGACTACAGAGTATGGCAAGGATTACTAAATCTTTGTCTGTGACTACTGGCAAGGAATCCTTAACCTCCCTTTCATCACAATTGGGTTGTTCTTAAGTAGTGCCATGAATGGATATTCTAATAATTTCACATGGAGAAAATTGAATGAATGTTCAAACACCAACCTATCAAAGATACCCAACTATCCTGTTGAGTATCTGACAATCATTTCTAAGGTAAGGAAGTCCCAACTCTGGAGTACACAAAACAAGTTGTACTTGGGCTGTCTGGATATTCAGCCCTTGGCCTGTTCAAGATTGTTATTACAAGCACTTTAAAATTCAAGTCCAAGGTGGAAATTAGGAAGCCAGACAGAAAGTACAGCATGTATGCATACTGAAATGGCCAATCGGTCGCAAGGATGTGTTGGTGTGCCTATATGTGAATGCAAGGTGAACGTGTTGGCACACTTTGAGGCGAAGAAACAGAGAGGCCAGGCATGAGGCATGTATGCACTGATATGGTCTAAAAGGTGCTGGTCCAGTTAGTTTTTGGACAGTAATCCAGAAGCAGGAGCACAGATGTTATACATTGCAAAAAATTTGGGCACATGGAAGCACACTAAATGTGTTTTTTGCATGAAATTCACTGTAGTTTCCTTTCCTAAACCTTGTCTCACAGCTTCATCTGCAATGTCCTAATATCACAAAACACTCCAACCACTTCAATAAGAAAAATTAATTAAAACACATGAAAATATAAACAGAAGCCACATGTACTAACCTTCTGGGCACAAAAATATCAGCTACTTGATCCTATTCCAAATACAATAAAATTATAAATCATCTCATATATTAAAATGTCAATTTGTTTGAGACAAAGTCAATAAAGGCCAACTCCAGCCTCTTTATATTCCTATCTCTTCGTGATTGGTAGATATTATTACCAAAGTTTGGGAAAATAAACCACTTTTGCGTGTTCTAAGTAGGGGGTTTGCAATTGATGCACTCCAACTTGTAGAGGAGAGTATTAACCATAATATAGTGTAATTCTTGATAAGTGGCATATGGATCAATAAAAAGGAAGACAATCCACGGGTGATGTTATGACTTATAAAGCATCTACAGATTACAGAGTATGGCAAGGATTACTAAATCACATCTTGTGATGAAGAGAAATTAGGTGTAAAAATGTATTTGTTGATTAATGCTGTTAAGACAGTTTTTTTGAACACAAACCTTTGTTATCTTTTGGTCAGTTTTGTATATACCCAAATAGCTTAAGTCCTTACTAAAAGATATTAGTGATGACATTGAGTTCTGTTTCAAGCTAGCCAAAGAAGAGAAGAATCAGTGATCCTTCTTCCAGGTGATAAGCACACAGCCTATAACTCTTGCAAGATGCGTTAAAGATTTGTACAATGTGCATAACAAGAACAAAAATACAAAGAATTCATACCTCAAAATCAGCCACCAATAGTAGCAAACCAGCAAATTCTTGAACTGCAAACAAAGTCAACAGAATCTCATATAAGTAAAAAACTTTTCTAACAAAAATCATTCAAAGACAACATGAATGACATTCATCTAAACAGATTCATGACGACCCTCAAAACCCTAAAATCTTCAACCGGATGAAAAGATGGTAAATGCAACATCAATGTACCAACCCATATAAAAAAGATCAAATACGAAACTTGTACCTCAAAATCCGTATACTTATAGTAGCAAATTCTCGAACTGCAAACAAATCTCATCCTTATAAATATCAATCGGAGATTAGGGATGGCAAGAAAGTTGAATTGGGTTTAGGGATAAGATAGAATCGAAATCTCTATCAGAATCTGTTTGAAAATCGAATTTGTTTTAGGGATGGCGATAAAATGGGATTGAGTTTAGATTAAGGATGCGATAAAATAGGATTGGGTTTAGGGATATGCTTACTTAAGAGTTTGGTGATAAGATGGGTTTGGGTTTAGGGATATATGGCTTTAATAAGTTGTATCGATAGCGACAGAGGTAGTTTTTAAAAGTTTTAGTCAAATGTTTTATAATATAGTATAGATATATATATTTAAGACAATCATTTCAAAAATTCATATTTTGTATGACGTGTGACCACTAATTCAATAATTTTTATTGATATATTAGTATTATAATAAAAAAGGGCATTATTGAAATTGAATAAATTACAATTAATGATGATATTATTTGAGGTTAAAATAATTCTCCTTAATTTTAGGGATCAGAAACAGTCTCCCTCTTTCTCTCTAAAAATACTCATTTATATTGGATTTCTATTATCATTGCTTCTTGATCCTTCTCTAATTTATGTGAATGTGATTGTTGGTATACAATAATACATTGACCCCATTTTTTGTTCTTGATCTGCAACTATTTTTTAAGAAAACATACACAACAAATAAAGGAGGAATAAAGTTTAGTGTAGATTTGGTAAGAGAAATGGCGATGCACATAATGCGGTTCGGTTGATATTTTATGTTTTTGAAGTTGCTTTGACAAAACTATAGAATCTATATGAATTGTTATAGAAAGTGCATGGAAATTGCAGGTTTAAAGTACATGTGCATCTTCAATCCCATTTCAGAACGTGACTACACCAACACTTATTCCATATTGTGCATCCTGAATTTGCATGCCAAGCATCCCACCAATTTGTTAACACATACCTCTAGTTCATGTCGTGGATTACCAATAACATACATTCCATTTGTTTTGAATGTGACGTAATAATGCATACTATGATGATTAGATTAACATTGATTATCTTATGTTATAAACGTTAAACACAAATACAAGGATTCAATTGTGATTTTTCCTTGTAAGATCCAATCGGGTTTGGGTTATCCATTATGATATAATTTGAATTTTCATGATTATAGGGATATGGATGATGGAAATATTATTTATTTATGAATGAAGAATTAAAGATAATTATAGATTTCCTTTAAATGCTTAAGGATAATTATGGATTTTTTTAAATATAATTAAGGTAAGTTGTGTCATATTTAATAGGGGATAATTATGAAAAGATAATTTGTAATTATTGATTGACTATATTGGCTTTTAACAATTAATTTAATTATTTTTGAAAAATGCATTTAATGAAAAAACAAATTAGCAGCTAGTATTGGATTTTACAGTACCCATAAAAAATAGAGTTGTGACATTAGTAGCCCTCTATATAGGAAGACTTTTATTTGAGATCTGAAACTTAAGACAAAGGATGTTCTTTATGAATGGTTATTAAATTTTATGAATGGTTATTGAATTTTATGAAGTGT